ATCGCCAGCGGCCCACCGGGCAAATGCCCGGTATGCCCGATGGCCAGTCCAGCTATGTTTGAGTGGATTTGTTTTTCTATGTAAGAGTAACAGAAAATTTGGAAACCAGCATATATTCACTACTGAGAAGACGCTATCAGATTATCAAATGTTCCTAATTAATTTCTGTCAGTTAATTATTATTTTGATTAAGCATTTGTTTCAGCTCTTCATTCGGGTACATGGTTGCCTGGGGAAATTATGAATTTGACATTTTGCTCCAGGGCACATTATGAGGTTAATCTAGCCGTGCTCCAGTACAGAATCGTATCATTTGCATCTGTGGGACAATCCTAGCTGCAGTGATCAACAGAAAACCCGTCTCCAAAAAATGAGGGGAAGAAATGTGTTTTTGCAGCAGGCCGTAAAGTGCACCTTTGAGAATTGGTTCTTTGCTAAGCTGACTGTTATATGTAGACACATAACTAGTTGTTGAGGTAGATGCCTTTGAATGATTCATAGGTCAAGTACAGGTCTTAAGCTGCTTAACATACAAAAAGTTTCATCTGAAAATGGTCAGGTAGAAGAACTGGAATGAAAATGAGTGTAAAAAGCAGCCAATATTCATAAGGAACACTTTGAAAGACCTTCAGAAAGCCTGGAGATGTATTTCTCAAGACCATTTTGAAAACGACAAGAAAGTCGGACTCCTTGGAAGCAAAATATAAAGAAAGGAGGGGTGTATCAAGACTTCTGGATAGTACTGTATATGCCTGCAGGGACTTTCTCAGCAACAAACATGCTGTCTTTTTAAATTTAGACCTCAGACTTTCTGTTTTTTTGTTTAAAAAACTAGCAAACTTATACATTTGATACATTAGATAACTATCTTCTTAAATACATCTTTCCAACAGTCAGTATGACATACAACTTTGGGATCTGCACTTGATTTTTTAAGTGGTCTGAACCAGTGGTTAGCAGACCACAATATGGACCCTTGCTAGCATTTTCTTTCAACCACAAAATAAATAAATAAATCGTATGATAATATAAGACTGTAGACAACGCAATCCACCTTCTGGATTCATAGTCTATGTTAGGAATTTAAAAAGAAGATTCACATTTATTGACCTCATTTATTGATAAAATGGGAGCTATAGCTTCCCGTTTATTGCATGACAGTCCCATATTAGGCTTGAAATAATGAAAAATGACGGAAATTATATTCACTCAAAAAACAAACTATAATAAATATTTTTTTGTTTTCACTTTCTAAAGGGCAGTTTGGAGGTAATGTAACCATGACTGGTTCACGTGTAGTTAAGGAAGACACTCTGTTACCTCACTTAGCAGGAGTATGCATTTCCCTGTTATTTTTGGCCATCATATTACAAAATGTGTTTAAGGTTTAATAACATAAATCAAACTTTAAAAATGTTTAAAATATGTTTTGTTACAATTCTTGCAATTTATATTGGTTGTCAGCCCCAAACGTCTTTTATTGGTGCCAGAATTATTCATATGTATGGAAAAACATGGAAGAAATGTTGTGACAAATGCTTAACCTGATTTCAAATTTTAGAAATAGTTAAACTAACAGGGCAACTATTAAATTAAATCTAAACATGTTTGAATAAAACTCTGAAACAACAGTGGCACAAGCAACTGTCTCTAAAACTAGCTCTGATTAAAATTCACTGAAAAGAAAAACTGAAAACAAACATTTAAAAAGTTTATAAAACTATACAACTTTGACTCGAGAACAAAAAAGAGAAAAAAGAAGTTCATGGTCGACCGAGGCACCGATGACTGCAATCTGCCTAGGCTGCAAAATGAGCCCAAATCATCACCCCTCCAGATGCTTTACAGTTGATATGAGGTTTTTGTTCTAAAATGCTGTTGTTGGTTTTCTATAAACATGGTGCTGTGCATTATGGCAAAATATCATAATAATTCATCAAGTACTTCTTGTTACGACTTATCCTTATACTTACTTATCCTCTTACTTCTGATGGAAGCAGGAAGGGTAGGCTTTATTCTTCCACACATGTTATCTAATTTTAAGTCATAGTAGGGACCAGCTGATTTTTATTAAGTCCAGGTATATAAAACCCAAGCAGGTAGATATAAATCCCACAATATTAGTTTCAATAGTACTGTACTATATTTACATGTGTAGCACGTAGGTGTGGTAAAGTATTGCAGCACAGCATGTAAGACAGTGTCAAACAACAGATCTGCTCAGTGTTGCTAAATCTTTTAACCTCCCATAAAAACAGCAGTGTTTGCAACACTTCAGCTTTTCTAGGGCGTCACTACAAGGTCCAAACCTTGTGAGATATTTCACATCATTAAATGACAAAATGCATATCATGAAACGTTTTTCATGGGTTTGCAAATGCGAATTTCATCGGATTTATAGGTCACGTGTGGTAAATGGTCCCTATATGTTACCTTGCTTTAAATAATTCCCAAACATGTGAACCTTTGGGAACAGCCTGATCTTTTCAGTACACCGAGCAGTCGGTGGAGGGCGCAATGCTTGTTTATCGCTTCTCCGAGGCCAGCCGACACTCATTGTGGATGAAAACTGTCGTTTTACCCACTTTGCTTGTTACAATTTAAGCCGGTTTGTTTTGTTTAACCACGGGAGTGTCTTCACGCGCTTATGTGAGAAACATGAACATGTTTAACCTTTTGTTATCTGCTGCCACAGCCACAGAGAGCAAACAGACTCGCTCACACATCTCCTCTGCGTCACGGGCAGATCACGTTTTCCTTCCACCAATCAGGTGGTTCGAGCAGGACTATAAATCCAACAGGGGACGCGGTGAGGGGCAGCAGGAATGAACAACAATAGAAACCTACACAGGAAACACACATCCACAGACTCTGTACATCTTTTAATATTTTCTTACACTTAACATTAGGTAAGTCGTTTTTTTTTAATTGAATCGATTCGTTTTTTAAATGCTTTTAGAATTTGTGCGTGCGAGGAAAAACAATGATAGTAGTGGTAACTTGCATCTAACGTCCATTTGCTCTTGTGTTGTATTTTTCCACTTACGCGAGCTCCTAGTAAACAACTGTTTGTGTGAGAGCAATAGTCGATCAGGCCGGTTGATCACAGATGGAACTGTTGTATAATCAGTCGTGATGGAGATTTCGGTAGCATTTAGGTACTTAGGTGTACTTACCTGACATCCTGCCTGCTGTTTTACACATGCCTTCAGACACATTGATTTGAATTGAAGCTCATCATGCGTCCATTTATCTCTGTAGGTTTTCAGGGTCAAGAAAATGGCCACCTCAGCGAGTTCAAAACTGAACAAAGCTGTTAAACAGCAGTACATGAGCCTCCCTCAGGGGGAGAAGGTACAAGCCATGTACATTTGGATCGATGGATCTGGAGAGGGACTGAGATGTAAGACCAAAACTCTGGATTCTGAACCCAAGACAATAGAAGGTAAGATGTAGTTCCAGTATGATCAATATCATTCAGGAAAATAAAAAAGCATGGATGGCGACACGTTTTAAGAAGGTTTTTGAACAGGGTTGTTGTTGTTTTTTGCCAGATCTCCCTGAGTGGAACTTTGACGGCTCCAGCACCTACCAGTCAGAGGGTTCCAACAGTGACATGTACCTAATTCCTGCTGCCATGTTCAGGGACCCATTCAGAAAAGACCCTAATAAGCTGGTGCTCTGTGAAGTGCTCAAGTACAACCGCAAACCAGCAGGTGAGTGGAAATTTACAAACCGGGGCGTCATGAGATTTTAAGCAGTCTTAAGTTTTAGCTAATTTCTGACGCTGTTCCAACAGAGACCAACCTCCGATACACCTGTAAGAAGATTATGAACATGGTGGAAAACAACCACTCGTGGTTCGGTATGGAACAAGAGTACACTATCCTGGGCACAGATGGACATCCCTTTGGTTGGCCTTCCAACGGCTTCCCCGGGCCACAAGGTGAATGTCGGCCTCTAACTTTGCTCATTTTGTTGAATATACATCAGTAATCCCAGCTGAGTGTTAATGTTTAGTCTCTTTCCACTTAATCAGGGCCTTATTACTGTGGAGTCGGGGCAGATAAGGCATACGGACGAGACATTGTGGAGGCACACTATAGAGCTTGTCTGTATGCTGGGGTTCAGATCTATGGAAGTAATGCGGAAGTCATGCCGGCACAGGTAATTTTCCATCATGACAAAGGCAGTGTGTAAAAACAGGTAATTATTAGTGTAACTGTTAATAATGCCTTCTTTGTTGTGTTTTAGTGGGAGTTCCAGATTGGGCCTTGCGAAGGTATCGACATGGGAGACCATCTGTGGGTTGCTCGCTTCATCCTTCACAGAGTCTGTGAAGATTTTGGTGTTGTGGTGTCCTTTGACCCCAAGCCTATCGCAGGGAACTGGAATGGAGCTGGCTGCCATACCAACTTCAGCACAAAGGAGATGAGAGAGGATGGCGGGCTTAAGTAAGGATGAATTCAAAGTCAGTTAAGTTTAATAAATGAAATGTGGGGTTTTGGTGTGTTTCTAACTCTAACTCTCATCTTCAGAGTCATCGAGGAATCCATTGAAAAGTTGGCAAAAAGACACAGGTATCACATCCGGGCCTACGATCCCAAGGGTGGGCTCGACAACGCCAGACGTCTCACTGGTCGTCACGAAACCTCGAGCATCGATGAGTTCTCAGCCGGCGTGGCCAACCGTGGGGCCAGCATCCGCATTCCTCGCTCAGTGGGGCAAGACAAGAAAGGCTACTTCGAGGACCGTCGCCCATCCGCTAACTGCGATCCTTACGCTGTCACAGAGGCACTGGTGCGCACATGTTTGCTCAAAGAAGAGGGCGATGAGCCCGCAAATTACAGCAAGTGAACGGTTTAAAACAAAAGTATCATTAGCAGTACTGTATTTAGCTCTGTGTCTGTTTCAAGACTCGACAAACCAATCTTTATTTTTTTGAAATTTCTACTTGAAACATGAAATAATGATTTAAGTATTCCTGCATTCTTTGTGAATTCAACTGACACAAACACTGCCACATTTTGTCTTGGTGTCACAGTAGCTGATAATTTGTATAGATGCACACTAATACAATGTGTTTAACTTGTACTAAAGGAAATTTAAGAACAGCAGCATTTTCCTGGAGCTCTTGTTACATTTCCCCAAAGGACAAAAACCCAAAGGCGTTTGAATGTTTAAGCAATCTTGGCCTCTGTCTCGATAGTGGTTGTGGATGGGTAAGGTTACTACGTAAGCCAGTTTACTTTTGTAGGTTTTATAAAACGATGCATGTCTGTTTTATCTCTTCTTACAATTGTAATTGTTGTGCTCTTTAATAAACTGCTAACATTTTTATGTATGCCTTGTTTGCAGCTTAATCCCACACACTTCATTTTATCTGGAGTTCTATTCCAACAGGAACACGTTCGCACGACACTGGACTGTCAGCTGACACGAATCCCTGAAATGTGACTGTCATTAAGGGAAAATGCACTGTAATGTTTAACAAACTGTGATTAATTTAGACAAATTACAGCCCTCCCTCCCCCCCCTCTCAGTTTAAAAACTCAAGCACAAGATTACACTGAACCTTTAGAGTGGTTTTGGTAGGTTTATCTTTTTGTGTTAAGGCTTGAACACACTGATTGTGCTAAGTACATCACAGTAGATTTCACTCTAGCACAGGCCTGTCCAAAAATAGTGTGTGATTGTCTTTCTGGTCTGTTGTTTTAATCACAAGCTTTGATAAGCTAGAGGCTTAAAGTAGGTTGAGAAAGTAAAGACAGGATGGCAGCCTTTGTACTAAAGTCTGTCTAAAGACCAGCGATTCAATGGAAAAGAGAAGGCGCTCGAGAAGTTGTACAATACTATTTAGCTATCATAGTAAAAAAGAAAGGGCTCAAATTGTGTCACCATTACACAACTTGAACTAATAAGCAAGGCTGATTACTAATCTCCATTGCTCCATTAAAGGGCACATGCATACTGTGCTAAGGATTCAAATTCAATTAAAACCTCCACAACGTAGACCCACATATGGTGCCTCTCATTTTGTAATAAACCTGAGCTGATGAGAGTGAGTCATTCCCTACACGCACATGCCCAACATGTTTTCTTGCCAAAATAAGAGTGCTCGATGCTCAGTGTGGATTTCATGCCAAACTTTTAGTCCAGACATGACAGCTCCTCAGGTCATCCTCTTCCCATCTTGTTCATGTTTTACGCAAATCACTTTCAGTTCTGCTTTCCACGACTGCTTATCGTTTTCTCAAAGCATGCAGAAGTGTATTCAATTTTTCCGTTGGGCAGCCACTCTGTTTATTTTACTCCCCCATGAAAATCAATTTGCAAAGATTTGAAACATGCATGACTTTGGAGAGAGTCCTCCCTCGTTTCGTTGTTCATAAGGCCCTATTGTTGCAGCGACAGGAGATTCAAAGCAGATATGAAGAATTGATAATGTGTCACACAGCAATTGTTATGAACAACACGCATATTATTACTGGATGCATTAAAATGTTTGACTTGAATTAATCATGGTAAATGTTTATCAAGTCAAAAGCGTGAGGAATCCTTATGTATCAGCTATGGATCGTGTATTAGTGGAATTTACATCAAACTAGAAAAGTTAGACGGGGTGAAACACATCTGAACCTTCCTAGTGACCAACAGGGTCTGAAAGGGTAAATACCTTTTATTTACATGTGGACGATATTTTCCAAATGTACAGAACTGGAGTGACGTATTTACCATCTGATGTATCATACTTTGATGAATTACTCTTGTTGTCCCCTAAAAGTTGGAACAACTCCCCAGAAACTGTTCAGCTTGTGGTTTGTAGTATGATGTTTTATTTAACTTTAACTCGGAAGCAATCATAATAACAATAATATCCAACTTTTGTACTTTCGCTCCTGTAGTTTGTTCTTGTCCTGTTTGCTGATCATGGTCTTTCCATGCTCCTCCCCCCACCTCCAACCAGTACTCCCAGTATTCTCTAAGTGTGATTCTGTTGGTGATCTCTTTTTGTTAAAAGGGAGTTTTTCCTCTTCACTGAGGCCAAGTGCTTGCTTTTTGTGGCTTTTCTCATCTTTGGTGTTCTCTCTCTTCACCTCACAATATAAAGCACCCTGAGATGTTTATTTATCCGGTATTGTTGACCACATTATTTGAAAGTTAGACCATGTTGGGTATGAGTTTTAAGCAGAATAGCTCCACTTTTTTTCTTTTTTTCTTTTTAAAAAAGGACACAGTCAGAAAAACAAACTTTTTGTCACTTCTGTATAAGTAAACCTTCAGGTGCTCAAATTTTATTAAACAATTTTAAAATAGCCAGTTTATAGCCTACCGTGCTCCACTTTATTGTCAAAACTGCAAAACTTCAGCTGAGATTTCATGACACATTCATGATCGTGCTAAAAAAAAGAACATGTGGATGCCACATTTGTAACTAGAATCGTTTCCACCATTTATCCTTTGCTCATGAATCTGTTGCATACATTACTTTTGACGAGTAATGGATTGTGAAAATATAATGATAAGGGCCTTTACTGAGAGACACATAGTATTCCTCTTCTGTCTGGAAACACTGGAACAAATGACCTTATATGTACTCATGGTGTAAAGGATTGTTCTGGCATTTATGTCGTGCTTTTCTAGTTTTGCTGACCACTTAAAGTTTTTTACTAACTCTATTCACATTATCAACCCTGTAAACATGTCCGGACAATTTATAATCATTAGTTGACCTAACACGCGTGTCTTTGGACTGCAGCAGACTGCATACACAGAGTGAAAAAGCAAACCAGGCACGCCAGGAGATTCAAGCCCAGAACTTTCCTGGTGCTAACTTATTATAAAACATACAGACAACAACATTATATCATTGTTGCCATTATGTCGTTGTAGTTCGTTTTTACTGTTTTAATATTTTAGATGGATTTTGACTTGTGTGTCTAAAATGACTAGGACAGAACTGAACTGAAACATAGTTTTGTTTAGCTTTGAGGGGCTATATCATAAACATGGGTGGCCTGGGAAGTTAGTTTCATGTCATGCTTTACTTGCTGAAAATTAAACCATGACCAAGAGCTGGTCTGGAAGAGTGCTCTGGTCTGCTAAACCTGCTGTAAAACATACTTTCTCCAAGGTTCATGGGGTGAACACCTGGGGCATAAAAGGTAAAACATGTTAACTAATTGCTTCATTCAGTGAGGATGCTTTTTTCAGAACAGATGGCCAGAACAGTAGTGGTTTTCACAGTTTCTTAGAAACAGTTTTCCCCTTAAAATAATGGCTCTTTACATTTTGCATCGAAGTGGTCAGATTTTGTTGAAATTTTTTTTTTTCAAAAGTTTTTCAGGACATTGGCTGCTTTTTCACTCATGTTCAGTCCACTCCTTGCACCATTTAAAGAGGAACGGGTGTGTTTTGTTTTCTGTCATTAAGCAATTTGCCAATGACCTATGCATAATTCAAGCACCACAAAAGGAACCTAACCTCACTTAACCTCACAGGGATGAACCATTTGTGAATCTACACATAAAACAAATTAGCAAAAAACTCTGTTTAAACTGTATCCTTAGGCATTCTGTTACCGGCAGCCTGTCACAAAAACATGTGATTTGTTCCAATTTCTTTAACTGAATCTATTAAAAAAATGCCAAAGATTATACAGTTTCACAAAAATATAACAGAATGGTGCACCAACAATGTGTTTCATAAAGACCTATCAGCTGAAAACTTTGTATACCTCAGTATGGTGTGCAATGCGTCCTTAAAAAAATGTAGAAAACTGGACAAGCGGAAGACAGAAGAAGTGGCAAGTGGAAAAAAAAGCTATCTACAGCAGACAAAGAGTGTCTGAAAGTTATGTCCTTAAGAAACAGGAAAAGAAATCCAGCAAAGACCTGACACATGATTGGAGAGATGCATCTGGCTCTTCAGTCAATCTATCTACTGTCAAATCTAATGGAATTATGAACACATCAGAATATCATCAAATTCTGATCCAATGCATGCAATACCATCTGGAAATTAGAAATGGCTTTATTTTTCAGTGTAATCTCAAACTCACTGCGAATGCATTGAAAGCCTACCTGGATTTGAGGCAGCCAAAATCTAAAGAAGAGTTTTGAATGCCCTTCAGTTAGCCTGGAGAAATAGTGTAGAAGACTACTTAAAGAAATTACAAGAAAGCTTTCCCAAGATAGTTCAGACTTTCAAGCTTAATAGAATTGTTTAAATTCATTTTTTTTGCCTTATGTACTATATTTCCATGTATGATTGCACGTTTCAATACATTGCTGCACCTATTTCCCATTGGCCAAGCAAAGCATAAAGCAATGAGGAGTGACACAAGATTTTTAGATAATTCTATAAATGTTAGATTGATTAGGTTTTCTGTACATGTCAGTAGCTGTTTATCTCTCTGTATAAGCCCTGAGATGGACTTGTGCCTCACCTCTCTACCTGTGACAGCTGGGATAGCCACACAACAATGGATGGATAAGCGGTTAACGTATATGGATTCAACTGTCAGTTTCTATTCAGCTCAATATGGTGTTCTGAGCTCAGATGCCTTTAAGAAAAGTGGAGCCAAAGTGCATGTAGCTTACAGTAATACACGTGACAGGAGTTTTAGAACCCACCAAACTCAATTTATTTAAGAGCTTACTGCCAAACAAGAACTTCAAATCACACGCATTGGCCTCCTTAAATCATGCTCAGCAACCAAGCTCAGGAAATGTTCCAGCACTTGTAGAGAGGCATTTTGGATCCCGGAGAAGTTACTGCCTTACAGCATATTTTGTCTTTTTTTTATATAGTTTTTGTTTTAGTTAAATATAGTGGAGGAAAAACCAAAAAATCTGTTTTCACAAACAAGCCTTACAGCTCGAGACTATCAGCACATACTCAAGCTTCCTTGTATGTGCTTATTTATTCTACTGCATATATACTGTTTCACAACCTATTGAATTGTCCTATTGCATTACAAGCACAGCCACTCCTTATGTTATTTAACCCCGGTGGACTGTCTGTAGAAAGGTGTGTAATTTTGTCAGTTTTCCTTCAACAGCATGGCGATATTTGAGATAAACTGGTCAGAAGGAAGGTCTCGTGAAGAGAAAGATAACGCCTTCGGCTTTGTTTCCATGGCAGCCACAGTGTAAGCTCAAGCAATCTGGTGTGTGTAAGAGAGGCGGGGGCTGGGTTTCCATACCAGGCAATTACATAACAGCGGCAGTTGAGGAATATAGTACATAAAACAAAGAACAGAGTTTACAAACCTATTTGCAATTCAGCCAGAGGTTCACAGTTTAATCAGATATCTGTAGTCCAGACAGCAAATGAAGCACC